AATGACCATAACCTTGCCCCTTGTCAGCTCTACTATACACCTGGGAATTCTGATCATTCACATAAACTTATAGGACCATTGTCTGCCAACCCTATGTATGATCTTGGATACACTCCCCATTTAGACATACCTAATTGTTTAGCCTGTCCACCTATCTATCCGTCCATATAGATATGGGGCATTTCTGCCATATCACATGGGGTTGCCATGAGTGAAAATAGACCTGACAGCACCCAATGACACAGCAACACTGAATTGTGTCTCAGTGATAAAAGTGAGCTGAAGATACACTTGAACACTCCCTGGCATGAATTCTGTCATTAAGCTCCATTGTTGTTACCCTAAGCCCCTGAAAAATGTGCTCATTCTAATTAAGGATTTGTGGTTTTTCTAGGTGTTTTCCTCAACATATCAAAAGCAAGTCTAGTTTTTAGTAAGAAGTAAATGATTTGTTACTAGTTTTGACTCTTTTCTGTAACTGAAAATAATAAATTGTTATTTTAAGAATTTTCCTTATGGGTTTGCTTCACCATGTATTTTTTCCCCCTCTCAACCACCTGAAGGATGGAAAGAAAATCCTGTAGAATTTGATTCTCTTTTTAATGAAAGCAAATACACATGGAGCTGGGGTGACCTCAATATTGTATCTATGTTTGCCAAAGGTGAGAGTCATTTATTGTCTTTCATCATGGAGTTGTTGCTAAAATCAGTACAGTAATTTTTTACGCATTAGTGAATTACTGTATTTTACTGATTTTGAGGTACATGTTTTCAAACTTTATTATCTCTGAAAATTGGAGTGTGTATTATAATGGATGAGATGCTGATTTAATAGACAGTGATTTTACTTCTTAGTTGTATAATTGAAGCATTGGCAAATCTTATATAGGCAGTCCCTGGGTTACGAATGTCTGACTTATGAACAACCTGTAGTTATCAACCAGTTCCCCATAAAGCTTATTAATTTAAAATTTAAGGTACATACAATGGTTTGTAATAATGAACAGGTGCTGGCTGTTGTTGTTGTTATGTGCCATCGAGTCGGCCCTGACTCATAGCGACCCCTCCTTGGGTT